CATTATGACTCAGTAACACATAAGCATAAATATTTACGGATTTACACAGATAAACACACACACTCACTTACACATCAAGAGTTTCTCAAAATCTTCTAATTTCCTCGAACTTTATTCTTACCACAACTTTTCTTAACCCTTATTATGATTATTCATTTTTCAACTCTTTTTTTTTTTCCCCTTCTAATATAAATCTCTGTCTCTTGTCTCTTTCTACTGAGCCATTGCTTTGGCTTCAAGCCCCAGTAAAAAAAATAAATCAGGAAAATTTTCCCTATCTTGGACCAAATCATAGTTACAAATATAATAGAGGATTTGCAGTGGGGGAGTGGAATTAATCTTTGAGACTTCTAAGAGACCTTGTAGTCCAGGAGCCAGCCTGAAACAGCATGTAAAAGAGTAAGTATTGAGAGACATTACTTTGAAACCTGTAAAGAACCTTTAAAATGATACAATCTCCATTTTTTCATCAGAGTAGGGAGTGGAGTTTGTCATCACATTTTCTTAGGTAGCCTGAAATAATAGCCATTATCTATTTTAAAGATCTAACTTTGAAAGAATTAGTCTGTCTATTATTCCCAACCATCTAAATTCTGCCCGAGTATTTTGATAATACGTGATGATACGTTTTCCAGGGAGTGAGAAAGTCTTCTGTGTCCAATGATGCACTAAAATAAATGACCCATGAAGGTCAGTATAAAGAAAAATCTCACCAACAAAGGACAAAAAATTCAGGAGGGACAAAAATGGGACCCACCAAAGCCACTGTTCTTACTTCATGATTATCCCCACAGCAGATTCTGCTTATGTGCAGGTGTGGGCAGGCAAGAACTGCCGCATTTCCCCACAGCCTGCTCAGGCTCGATGGCTGTATTATGATATGTTGGCATATCAACAGGTGGTAATTTCAATTGTTTTTCTAATGTATTAACTAAATTAAATTTAGTTAACTAAAAATTAACTAAAATTTTCTAATGTATTAACTGAAAGCTTCTGATAATTTTAATAGTTTTCAAAAGCTTTCATAAGTACCACAGACTTGGTGGCTTAAACCACAGAAATTTATATTCTCACAATTTTGAGATTGAGATGCCAGCAGGTTGGTTTCTTCTGAGGACTCTCTTTCTGGCTTGTCGATGGCTGTGTCTTCTTGTGTCCTCACATTGTCTCCCCTCTGTGTCTCTCTGTGCCCTAAGCTCTTCTTACAGTTGGTCGTACTAGGTTAGGACCCACCTTAAAGACCTCATTTTAATTTAATTACCCCTTTAAAGATCTTTCTCCCAAATACATTCATATCCAAAAGTATTGGGGTTCAATACTTCAACATATCAATTTTGTGGGGATACAGTTCAGCCTATAACACTCCCCCTTTAGTTACAGATTTCTACTCAGCTTTGCTCATAACCCCTACCTATCACAAGTGTTGGCACCTGGATCATAATCTTTATTTCTTCCTCACTCCTGCCATCATCATGAATGTCTTCAAGATACATGTGAACAATGACTCCATGCCAGTGATCACCAGTGTACTTCACTTTAGCAGTTCACTTTTAGCAGCCCCCAATGGTAGCATTAATATCCATTTCACAATTGCACTGTGACATTTTAGAGCCCACTGTGCAACCAAGGCTTTTTACTCTGCTAAGCCTCTTAAATATTTTATTTATTACTCCTGTTATTAACCCTCATTGTGATTATTCCCTTCTTAACTCTTTCTTTTGCTCTTGAAATAAATCCCCTTCTTTTAATTACTTCTCTACTGAGCCATTATTTTGTCTTTAAACCACAGGAAGAAATAAATCAGACGAAAATTTCCCATCTCTTCTTCCACATATGGGCTGTTGGGTAGATATATTTGTTTCCTATTGCTGCATAATAAATTACCACAAATTTAGTACTTAAGAAACACAAATAATGAGTTTACAGCTTTCATGGGTCAGGCATCCAGGTAGGAATTAGCTCCTTCCTCTGCTAGGGTCTCACTGAACTGAACTTAAGGTGTCAGCCAGGACTGAAATCTCATCTGAGGCTCAGGGTTCTCTTCCAACCTTAGTAATTGAGGGAAGAGTTAATTTCCTTGTTGTTCTGTCTGATGGAAGTCCTTGCTCTTTCTGACTAGCTATCAGCTAGGATCTGCTCTCAGCACCTGGAGGCCTTCCTCTAGCCCTTTGCCTTGTGGCCCTCTTCTCTTCATCTTGCCAATTATCCATCTTTGATGTTAGCAGAAGAATGTCTCTCCATCACTTCTTTTAAAGGGCTGGCTTGATTAGGCCCACTGAGAATTAAGTTTCCTTTGGTTTTAAACCAAAGTCAACTGATTAGCAACCTAATGGTGGGAATGCTACCTCATCATATTCACTCTTTTTGGATTTTATAGGGCATGTATATCAAAGGGTAGGAATCTCAGGGATTGTCTTAGAATTCTGCCTACCATAAGATGTCTGGAGAGCATCCTGTATCTATGCAACCACAGGCACTACCAATGCATGATATCCAGACATCTATTATATCTGACCTTATTCACAATAAATTTGATGTCGCTGAGGACTGAATAAACATTTGTTTAACGTATTAACAAAGGGATGGGCATTGTTTTGTGATTCAGAAAAAACAGACATTTGTACTCTTGGTTTTCCTTCAAATCCTCTCCAGTTCTAGTACTAACATGACAATGTAATTGTACATCTTTAATAAAAAGAAAAAATTTGCCTCTTGAAATAACAAAATATATTTCATACCTTTTAAAATTATTTTTTATAGTTCATATAAGTTAGTTTGTATTTAAAGTAAAGAATATAAATATGAAAAAGTTAGATCTCATTGTAAAATAATCATTGGAAAACTAGTGTTAGTATTTATAAATCATGTATGGGCTTGTTGTGTTTGTTCCAGTGAGAGAGAAGCAGTATACAGGCATCAACCAGTCTGAGAATTCATTACTCCTTCACACTCTTTTATAATTTATATTTTGATTAACCTCACACACTTTTGTAATATACGTTTTGAATACAAACACATACATACACACACACACATATACACACACTCCTGGACTGGACTGTTACTGGGGACAAGATTGGTGTCTTATTCGTCATTATCTTAGCACCGACATGGAACTTACTAGTTGTTCATTGAATAAACAAAGTGAATTGACTAATGAGTAAGTAATTCGATGCACAGAACACTGAAAATAGGTTGCAAAGGGAAGTTACTTTCTTTGGTCATAATTTTCAACAGCATTTGGAAATGTAGAAGGAGAATTCCAGTTAGTGCTAAAAATACAGATTGGAGACGCATCCACAAAGGGAGTTTTATTTTTATAAATTAGTGCTATTATAATTAATTTTGCCCTATTTTACCCCCAAGTTTTCTGCAGAGATTACAACACAGATTGTATGTTTTTGTATTCAAAGTTTTTATATTAATTTAGCTCCCTGTCTCCATTCTCTTACTCTTCTGATGTATAATACATGTCCATCTAGACGGAACATCGTAAAGCATCAGGACATTGCCCTGCTTCAAAGCCATAAAAAGTTCCTTCAAACTACCAAACGAAGGATTGAATAACCTGGTCCCATTTTACCTTTTATAGGTCAGTATGACAATTCATGCTATTAGTATTCTAATCCAATTGAAGACACCTTTGTTTCCTGATTATACTCTAAAAATATTTGCATGCATAAGTTCTCATTCTGTTTTCTCAAATGAAAATGGCTTCCTTCATCACTGTTATTTTGAAATTTTAACCTTTTTTAAGACCTAGCTCATATGTCACATTTTTCCTGAAGTCTCGTTAAACTTCAAAGCAAAAAGGTGTTTTTCTTCTCTTTTAAAGCATATTTTTTCAGCTTTCTTATAGTACTTACTGTTTGTTATCATGTACCATACTTCGTTACACATTTTATAACTTTCCTATTGAGTAGAAAGCTTTTTTTTTTAAGATCAGGATTTTTGTCTTTTGGGAGCCACTATTCTGCGAGGTGGTACAAAACAGATTCAATAATGTAGTTCTTCAGTGACAGTACACAGTAAATAATGATGGATTCTTTATATACCTCATACTTTGCATCTCTATCCATTCAACATCACATATTATTATCTTTTGTTTTACAGGCAAGGCACAAAGTCATATATTAGTAACAGGAAAGAGATCTGTGTATTAACCTGTCAAATTTCAAAACCCATGCACCCCTTACTAACTCAACTCCCACTCTGAACAGTGAAGAAACACTTTGATAAAATTCAAATGAATATTGAGGTTTTACTCCCAGAAAATTAAAATTTTGGTTTAGGTAGACTAATGCCTCTTTTTAACCAGATACTACAATCAGGTAGCAATAATGCTCCTTAATGTAACACTCAGTGATGATTCATTAATAAGTTCAATAGTTACTTAAATCTGTACAAATGTTGCAAGCTCAGATTATAGGCAACCATTTTAAAACCAATGAGTAATCAAGTGATTGTCCACTTGAAATATTGAACTAGAGACATTTCTGGAGAAAATAAACTTGGACTAATTGGACAAAGTATCATCTATAGTCAATTTAATCACTGTGTGACATAATAAGTATTTTCAGTTTTATTCCATTGTTAATCTTGGCATTTGAAATGATGGTTTGGGGAGTGATTCAGTAAAGACTGTCTGCTCCAACACATCACAAATTTGTTATTTTAAATATTTCTAGTAAAAAATTGATAAGCTCTTGGGATCTAATAAGTTTGCAACTTGTTTAAAAAAAAGAAACTGACGATCTCAGTCTCAAATGAAATACAATGGGTTTAATCATCTTCAATGATATTACTAAATACAGTTTTTTTTTCTTATCTAACTCCTGCCAGAAACATAGAAAGGGACAACATGTCACTTACAAGGCACCTGGACTCTATCTTTCACCTACTAAGAAAAAAAGGGAGCAAATACATAATCTTTATAGAAAATATACATTTAGAGTGCAACAACAATTTATTACTAAAAAATCCTAAATTTGTATTTCTAGGAAAATGGAGTACTTCTCCCTGTTCCTCCATTGACTACAACTGGAAACCTTGGACATACATATAAAACAAACAAAAAGGACTTTGAAAGGTACAGAGAAGTCAGGCAGCCTAGGAACATCAGGAACCAAGACGTGACACCATGGTGAGTTCCTTGGGTTTTCTTTTTGACTCATATATCCCAGATTTAGAGCTGAAGGAGCCAGCAACCTGAACACCCTGATGAGATCAAGGGGGAAAAAAGCCCCAACAAAATCCTTCTCTCTCGAGCCAGAAGACCGGGAAATGGGTAGCCTAGCAAGGCAAAAAACAGAAACATTACAGGCTCCACCACTGTTCCAGGGTGGAGCTGGGAGTCTGTACTTCCACCCTTACCAGGCTCTAGACATCCTAATTCCCCCCCCAAGATGGTATCAGAGAGAGCTGGGTAGGGAGCTGGGATTTTCATTCCTACCTGGTGGTAACGAACAGCCCCTCCTTTGAGATGTCAGCGTACACCACATGGTGAGCCTGGGTTTCCATCCCCACCTGGTAGTAGTATGGAGCCCTTTCCATTCTCTACTAGGGTGATGTCATAGGGAACCTAGAGAATCAGGACTTTTACCAGTGCCTGGTAGTAATAAAGCCAACCTGTCCCACTCACAGAAGCGCCAGTGGAGGCCACACAGAGCACAGTAACAAGGCAATCCTATGCCTCCCAGTCAAGGAAGTGTCAGTAAACACCTAGTACTAGGGAGGCAGAACCCCCACCTCCACTCAGCTGTGACGAGGAGCCTCCTCTAGCAGCCGTAAATGGAGGCCTAAAGGGGAATATGGACTTCTACCTCTACTGGTGATAAGGCTCTACCCCATTGTCCCCAGTCAGAGCAGTGTTAGAGGAAGCCAGTTAAAACAGAAAGCTTAATTAAGATTCAGTCTTGCAACAAAAAAAAAGTCTAGATTTCAATTTAAAAAAATCACTCATGATAACAAGAATCAGGATGATCTTCAACTGAATCACAAAAGATATCAATACACATCAATAACATGGTAACAAAAATATTAGAATTATAAATATCTTAAAGTAGCCATCATAAAAATGCTTTCATAAGCAGTTATGAACACAATAAAAACACATGAGAATATAGAAAGTCTCAGCAAAGAAAGTTTCAGCCAATAATAAATAGAAGATATAAAAAACAAATGTAAATTTTAGAACTGTAAAAAATAACTGAAATTAAAATTCAAAGAATGGGCTCAACAATAAAACAGAAGACAGAGAAAAAAATAATAAACTCAGAGATAGAATAAAAGTTACTTAAATCTCAACAACAGAGAGAATATAGACTGGGAGGAAAAACAAACAAATAAAAAGATCTTTGCAGACTTGAGAGACCGTAAGTCCTAACATTTGTGTCATTAGCATCCTGAAAGGAGAGGAGAAAGAAGGTTGGGCCAAAAATGTACTTAAAAAGAAATGGCTTAAAACTTTCCAAAGTTGGCAAAAACAATTAAACATACAGATTCAAGGAAATTGAGTTAATCTCAAACTGTATAAACCCAAGAAAGTCCAAAGACACATCATAACCAGATTTCTAAAAACTAAAGACAAAAAGAAGAAAAAGAAGAAGACAAAGAAGGAGTAAGAAAATAAAATTTGAAACCAGCAAGAGAGAAATAATACCTTATCTGTACGGGAGACCAATTTTAATGACAGCCTTTTTTTTTTTTTAATCAGAAACCATACAAGTCAGAAAGAAAAGGTAAACATTTTTCAAGTACTGAAAGAAAAGAACTTTAAACATAGAATCTTTATCCAATGAAAGTATACTTCAAGAATAAAGAGAAAAATCAGGCATTCTGAAAGGAAAACTAAGATAATTTGTCACTTGGCCAAACCTAAAAAAAGGGTTAAAGAAAGTTTACTGAACTAAAATCAAAGTAAAAAGAGTCTTGGAAACCAGGGAATGTAGAAAGAACAATGCAAGAAGTAAACATATGAGTAAGTGCAATAAATCTCTCTACCTGTCCTGTGTCCCTAAGTTACGTTTGATTGAGAGAGTCAAATTCTAGCATACTCTACTATGGTTCTAAATGTTTTTACACAATGACAACACTAGAAAAGCTCTACAAAAAAGATACACTAAAAATTACTGTGAAATTACTGTCAACAAATTGAAACTGAATTCTCAAATAAAATTCAGATAACCCATAGGAAATTAGAAAAATGAAAAACAGCACAAGCTGAAAACAGAAAATAGAATGACAGGCTGAAGCCCTGATTTATTAATAACTACGTTAAATATAAATAGTCTATATATATATCAAATAAGAGACAGAGATTGGCAAAGTAGATTAAAAAGCATGACCCGACTCTCTGCTATCTGTGCAAAATCCACTTCAAATACATGATAGACAGGTTGAAATTAAAAGGAGAGAAAATGATAGATAAGGCAAGTATTAATCAAAAGAAAGCAGGAGTGGTTATACTAATATCAAATAAATTAGACATCAGAGCAAATAAAATTATGAGACAGAAAGTGACATTCTGTGATAAAAGGGTTAATTCACCAAATAGATGCAGTAATCCTAAACGTGTATTCACCAAACAACAGAGCTATAAATCATGTGAAACAAAAAGCAATAGACTTTAAAGAAGAAATAGAAGAAATTAGCAATTCTTGTTGGAGATTTCAATATTGCTCTCTCAACAACAGTAGCAAACAAACAAACAAACAAACAAAACCAAGGATTTAGTAGAAGAACTCAACAATATTATCGACCAAAAGTGTCTAATTGGTATCTTTAGAACACACCATCCAACAACAGCAAAATACACTTTCTTCTCAAGTGCCTGTGAAACATTTACTAAAATAGCCCATATCCTGGGCCAAACCTCAACAAATTTTTAAAAAGTGAAATCATACAGATTATATCATGCTAGAATCAAACCAGAAATAAGTAGTAGAAATATAATAGGGAAGTCTCCAAACACCTGAGAACTAAACAACACATTTCTAGATGAACTGAACTGAACTTAGTAAAAATAAAATAGAGCATATAAATATTTTGGGAATACAGCTAAAGCAGTGCTGAGAGGGAAAATTATAGCACTAAATGCATGTATTAGAAAAGACAAGAGTCTCAAATGAATAATTAAGCTCCCTCCTTGAAAATCTGGGAAACCAAGCAAACAAAAAAAAGGGCAAAATAAACCCAAAGCAAAGATACAGAGAAATTAGATCACTCATACATTTCTGGTGGGAATAACAAGTGTTACAGCCACTCTGGAAGACAATTCAGTGGTTTCTTAATAAATTAAACATTGGACTACCAAACAACCCAGCAATTTCACTCCTGTGCATTTACTCCAGAGATATGAACACTTATGTTCACACAAAATTCTGTACATGAATGTTTATAGCAGCTTTATTTGTACCAGACCAAAATTAGAAAAACACAGCTGTGCTTCCACTGGTGGAGAGTTAAACAGAACGTGGTTCATTCATACCATGGAATACTGCTCAGCAGTAAAAGCCAGTGATGCACTGGTACACCTAATGACTTGGGTACGTCTCCACACTGGGTAATACACTGAGAGAAAAGAATCAATCCCTATAGGTTATGCTCTATGTGATTCAGTTTATGTAACACCCTTTAAATGGCCAAATTGTAGTAATAAGGAGCAGATTTGTGGTTGACAAAGTTTAAGGCCAGGAGAATAACTGTAAATGACAATATGCCAGATCCTTGTGGTGATGGAAAATTGTGCATCTTGACGGTTCAATGTCAATGTCTTGATTGTGATCTTATTCTGTACACTTGGCTCTGGAACAACTCAGGTTTGAACTGCATGGGTCCACTTCTATGTGGATTTTTTCAATAAATACATACTACAGATCCATGATTGGTTGAATCCTGGGGTACAGCACCTCAGATAGGGAGGGCCGACTCTAAAGTTAGGTGTGGATTTCCTACTGTGCAGGAACTGGGCACCCCTAACCCTTTCAGTTTGTTCAAGGGTCAACTGTAGTTTTAAAAAGTTACTATTGCGGGAAACCGGGTAGAAGTTACATGGGATCTCTCTGTATTATTTCTTACAACTGCATGTGAGTCTATAATTACCTCGAAATGTCATTTTGCTTAAAGAAACACCATACTGAGTTGGTTCTTTCAGACACTGACCAACAGTAAAAGGATCAAAAGATGTTTAAGTGTGAGTAACAGAGTAAGGCTGTCTCTGAATTATACCAGAATTCCAGGTGAAAGTCATTGGTTAACTTAGGAAAGCGGCTTTTCAGCAGTTGAGTGATGTTTTGGTGATATTTGTTTGGTTAGAGGATCCAGGAACACTCAAATTCTGTTTGGACGATCACTCCTCATCACCGTAGAGTTCCTGAAGGAACTACCCATGCATAGAAAACCCAGGGCAAAGATGCCATTTTACCCAGAAGCAAAGTGCTTGATACCTCCCCATGCAGAGCTCAGGCAAATCTGGGAAGGAGAATAGGGATTAGCGGGAGGTTTACTAAGTGGGGCCTCTCTCCTAATTCTGAAATTAGATTTCGGGGCCATTCTCACTTTAGTTAAACCCTGAAGCGATGATGAGCATATGCAAGGAACTGTGAACCCCTGGAGAGGACGAGGCAGGGAGAAGAAGGCAAGAAAGTGATCTTTAAATGACCAGTGATCCTGCCTTCAGTGAACATGACCAATGTCTGGTTTAGTTAGATTAATGGCCACTCGTCCAGGGGAAAAAGCCAGGTAGTAGGTATGGTGAGAGTTCCTGTAGAGCTGTTTGGCTCTTGACAGTCAAATTTGGAATGATTTGACTGGAATTTTCACTTACAATCCAAGAATTTTGCATCGATTAGACAAAATGATAAAGGAAGAATTAAAACATCTAAAGTCTGTTTTCTCTTCCATGACCCAGTTACTGTAGTGCATACTGATAATTTGGAGCTTCTCCTCGTCCTGATGTCTTGTCATCTGGGAGCAATACACTGTCCAAGGAGCAATCAGATTACTGAAGCATCTACATTGGAGGGCAGAGTACAGTGGTACAGTTCTTGAACAGAGTTCACTGGAGCAGTTCAGGTACTCAGGGCATGTCCAGGGGTAGTGATTCCAAAGGCAAGCAGGTGTCTTCAAGAGACATGCTTGAGA